GCCGGAGACGTAACCACGACCGGACTCGGCGACGTAGCCGGTGACACTCAGTCCCGAAAAGAAGGAAGTGTCGATATCGCGGAGCCTGGGGACACCAGATCGCGTGAAGGTCATGACATAAGGTCCGTGCAGGACGTTGGTTCGGAAGGCTTCGGTCTGGACATGGCCGCTGTTCATATACCAGTAGAGGTTAGTAGCGGATCCGGCGTTGTTCGATTCGATATCTCGGAAGAATGGACCGCCGGATGAGGATTCGGGGTGCGGCGCCAACACGCATACGTGAATGACATCGGAGCCACCGTATACACACTGCGCGTCCTTGTCGATAAAACGAGTGCTTGAGTAGAACTTTGATCGTGTCTCTCCGTCTACAACGAAGACATCGGATCCCTCCACGGTAGAAGAGCTGCCCGCGGTCGTTGAAACTTTGCCGTAGGGGTACTCTTCGGACAGCACAGAAGACTTCAAGCGGGCGATAAAGCGCAGTTCGCCTATGGAAGGCTCTTCGTTGATGTATGTAGCCAAGTAGACATTGCTTTCTCCCTCCTTAACCACCATGTAATGCGTCAGGGTCGAGGTGGTGCAGGTCACCTTCACGTAGTTGACGGAACCTATATAGAAAGTAAGAAAGAGTCGAAGGCGTATATGTATCTTTTGGACCTAATAACATACTTGCTGTAACGGATTCAACCTTGACGGTAGCGGAACCGAGGCCAGATGATAGTTGTGTGCCACCCTCAGCAAGCTCAGTGCCACGATACTTGATCGAAGTAATATCGCAACTACCGCCGTCCACCGTGAAGATTAACGGATTGCTCGAACCAGCATCGATAACATAATTGCTGCCGGACTTTGTGAAGCCGAACGCGGCAAACACCGAAGAGGCGAAAACGCACACAGATAGAAGGAATAAGTGAAGCATCATGTTGGTCTATTATCGCAGGATGCAAGACTAGACCAAGCAACAGCAACAGCGACAGCAACAGCCAACAGCTACTCCAATGTAGATCGGGAGATCGATTAACTTATAGCTACATCTACCAATTACTAAATTACTATTACCTACCCCATATGTGATATATATATCTCTTAAGATATTGGTCCCTCCCCTTGAAAATGCGCAAAAATACAAAACGCACTTGAATTATCTCGGTTCAGTCCAAGACCGAGACAAGACCCTTAAATGAGATGCGGCCGGGATTGCAAGATCTTGACTTGACGATTTGACGGAATTAGCCAAGGTATGTGTGAGGAGAAACAAAGAACAGGGTATCATTAAGGCGAAGGGCCTCAAGCGGTTCCTGGCAGGTGATGTATCGGCGAATTAGACAAATCAAGAAGACGGAGCAACGCTACGAGGCGGGACTGATGCTAGAAACCGGGTAAAGCGTCCGATGGGCACATCATGATTGACGGAATTATTTAACAAGAGATCCGTAGAGTCTAATTCATTAGCACATAAAGAGAAGAAGCCATCTATCTAGATTCTCAGAGATCTATTCTGGAAGCTCGATAATTCTAGAACATGATCATCCCACCGGAAGCACAGACTGGGAAAATAAAGAAAAGACGCACGATGATGAGAACTAACGATATCACTATGTAGACGTAGAGTCAGTCGAACGACTGACGTTAGCAATGCATTAACCCAAATAATTGGCAATATAGGAAGCAAGACCCTACTATTTATTATGGAGGCATGGACTTTTGTAAGTTGTCCTCGTCTCGTGATGGCGTCTACGATGACGGAAATGAAAGGGTTTCGAAAGTGGAGAAGTGAAGAAGCAATACCTAATGTAGCTTCAAGGGGGAAAATATTGAAAAGGGGGGGAAGAGGGGGGAGATACATAGCCACAAAGATTGGAAAGCGGAAAGCCACAACGTGAGGTCGTTACTTAAATAGGGAGTTGGATCTTTACCTCTTGGGCATTGGGCATCCCAATCTCGACACGACACGACACGACACCTCGTAGCCCTACGTTATATACTGGTATGTATGCGGATACACCTACTTATTAATAATACATATAATAAGGGGCAACCCGTTTCATCCATAAATCTGAAGATCACTCGACCGCGATGGGGCCGCGGTCGATATAAATAACTCTTCGCTACCAACCTTCCCAAATCGTGACGCGGGGTGTGCAGGCGTCAGCGAATAAAAGTCATCTAACTCCTATCCCCGAGCTGGACCATCTACTCCGCCAAATCTCTCAAACATTTACTAAGCTAAGCCATATATGTATTGTATTTGGATGCGGCTGATCGAAGGAGTGGACCACTGTACTCAAAACATACCACCAAAATATACAACCTAAACTAGATAGTTAGTGAGGATGTCGATTTAGTTTGTATGAGGAGCTCTCTTTCTACCCTTCATCCTCGGCATTTATTACTAAAGAAGGACGGTGGTTACCATATGCCATGATTCTAATGATTCATCAACGAGCCGCGACTAATAGACCTTACTTCGGATAGGGACTGGCGTTTCTCAATATTTTTAATGTGAAAATGCTTTGACACTGTATATCTCACACCAGGTAACATATCGCGAGGAGCCCCATTAAGCTAGTAGCTATCAGGAGCAACCGGTGCCGAGCTGAGCTGCTAAAATCCTTCATTGTTTACATAGACATCGTGTGTTTCTATCCTTACCTTGTTCGTTCATGGCCCATAGTCTGACTTACATAGGGACATATTCCTAGTGACCAAATAGCCCAAAATATCAATACATAGAATAAGCGATAAATGCATGTGGATATAGCAGAAAGGGCGATTATTGCTTTTGCCAGACCGTTCTTCTCACCTAAACTTAGCTAGGTATCTCTTCTGAGAATCCCGAAGTCTTCATCTTACTCATCTCAATATGCTCTGGTTTATATGATACGTTTGTGTCTTCCGATGAGACGTTTACGAAGCTTGGCTTATATTCTACAGGTGAAAGTCGGCGGCACGAGGGGACGGTGATGGCATCAGCAACATCGCTAGCTCATAGCGGCCAATGTCGGTGTATTCCCGCAATCCACCACCCCGGCACGGTAGCCCTGATAGCCCTAAGCATAGCCCGCCTTGCAATGTCACCTAAGCTAAAGCAGGAGCTGGATCCAAATTTAGGACCTGCATGTACTGCATATAAAATACTGGATTCTTAAATAAATACATATATTTATATAAATATATATCGTCACGAACCCCAGGTTTTGACGGTTGTTGATCGTTTCCTCACAGCAACATCGTCTCTTCCTTTCTTCATATTGTTTATCTAGCAGGCCCGAGTGCTTGTTCTTTTTTGAAAATGCGTCTAAACATCGCGGCAGCAGTTGCGCTGCTCGCCAACACCGCCGCCGTAGCCTGCGTGACTCTCCCGAGACAGGGTAACGGCCGTCAGGTCTTTGCTCACTACATGGTGGGTTTGACGAGCGGACAGTCCCGGGACCAATGGCAGAAGGATATTACGGAAGCCAAGTCGGCAGGCATCGACGGTTTCGCACTGAACATCGGGTCGGCCGACTCGTGGAACGGCGAGCAGTTGCAGCTGGCGTACGATACCGCCGCAGCCAACGGCTTCAACCTGTTCTTGTCTTTCGACATGGCTGCTAGCTCCTGGAATACCGACCAGGTTATTGCGCTCGTCAACCAGTACAAGGATGCTGGTAGCCAGCTTAAGGTCAACGGAAAGCCATTCGTCTCGACTTTCGAAGGGCCTGACTGGTCTGACAACTGGGCTAATGTGCGTTCCTCTACGGGAGACATCTTCTGTAAGTGAATCATGATATTAATTAATGTGATGATGATTTTCTGCTGGTTTACAATGCTAATTTGTAACGGTGCAGTGGTTCCCGACTGGTCTTCACTAGGTGCCGCTGGCGTCGGAAGCAAGCTCGACAAGATTGATGGTGCTTGTAAGTGATATCTCTTACTTACCACCCTGCAATTGCTTTGGTAGCTTACACGGTATAGTTAACTGGGGTGCGTGGCCCAACGCGAACGAGAACTCGATCAACACCGGTAACGATATTGCCTACAAGTCGTCCCTTCAGGGCAAGGCGTACATGATGGGTGTCAGCCCTTACTTCTATACTGGTATGAGTGGAAACTTATCTGGGCATGGACCCGACTCAGCTCAGGCTTGGGAACTGATTTAAACATAGACCTCCCGCAATACAACAAGAACTGGTACTCATCCAGCGACTCTCTTTGGTATGACCGTTGGGCGCAGGTTTTGGAGATTCAGCCAGAATACATCGAGATTATTACTTGTAAGCATATCGCGTCTGCTAGCAACTGAGGTTTCTTAGCAGGAGGCTAATTCGAATAGGGAACGACTATGGCGAGTCCAGCTACATCAACGACCCTATCGCGGCCCAGATCGTGAGCGGTGCTGAGAGTTACATCAACGGCTTCGGACACTCAGCTTTCCGTTTCGTATTGCCTTACTTCATCAACGCCTACAAGACTGGTAACGCAGATGTTGCTCTACCGTCCGAAGGAGCTGTCGCATGGTACCGAACTACGCCCGCAACTATCTGCGGTGATGGCGGTAAGGAATAATCATATTCGCCGTTACTTGACGGTATGTGCTAACATTTATTCGTAGGTACCGTCTGGGGCCAGGGCGGAAGCGCTTCGGCAGCGGGCGGAACGCAGGATGTTATTTCGGTTATTGCGCTATCTAACTCTCCCAAGGACATCACCGTCTCTGTCGGCGGTGCAAGCCAATCCGTGAGCCCATTGCGTTCCGTCGGTAAGGCTTATTTCTACCAAGTTCCCTTCGATGGAAAGACCGGTGCCGTCACCGTCACCATCGACGGCAAATCGACAACGGGTCCCGAAATCTCGAACAATTGTCCCGCTACAGGACATGTAAGTCCCTCTAGTTAAAACGAAGTCATCCCAACGTCCTTAAACTAACGATCGAATAGGTCAACTTCAACTCCGTCGCAATTCAACTATAAGCGTTTCGTTTCGAGAGCGTATCGGCGCGAGCTTACGGCATTTTATCTGCATTTTATCGGCATTAGATTTCGTGATATAATCTCTTCTTGTTTTGGGAAAAGTTCCTTTTTGAGTCCGTCTTGACGAGCAATGTATATATTTTTTTTTCAGCATGTCTATATATCAGCAGTGATACAGTTCCTTAGTCCGGTTTTTTAATGCCAACTTGGAATTTATCTGCCCATTCCGTAAACTCGTCTCTCTGGCCGTCCCACGACTTCATTAACATTTCTGACGCGGCAAATGCATCAAAGAAGCAAGAGTCCATCGTGCGATCTATAGAGTTGCGATCTAACTCGTAAAAGGCACAAGCAACCTCGCCAAATCGATGCGGTAGTCTTTTTAATACGGGGAATACCTCATCAAGACGTTTTGTGACTGACAATTGCGCCGTCGTCGTGGGTATTGGCGGAATTAATTTCAGCCGCCTCTTAATGATAGCCGTATAGAGCAAAGTGGTCAAGCGTAGTCGCTTTAGGCAAGATCCAAGCCGGTCCCGGATTTTGTCTGGGTCGCCCCTTGGAATGTGGCGAGGATTCATAAGATCGTCGAGCATCTCCTGTGTCGAGATGTGTGTGTTTTGCATTTGGTCTGTGACGCTGTTAACTCCGCCTTCTTCCGCTTCGTCGGCATCACCATCGTCATCGTCGTCTTCATCAACCTCTTCACTATATTCCTTGAGCTCCTCAAGTATGTCTTTTAGCGTATCCCTATATTCTTCCACCTTTTTTACAAGTAATCCTGCAATTCCTAGCTTCTTCAGCAGGATTACATCGTCACAAGCGGCCCAGATAACACCTGTGGCGGCCAAGCTACCTCTATCCCCCTTAGCCCCGTTTTTCTGTGTACCAGCCAGAATCTTTCCGTCTAGAGGTATGATCCCTATAAGATTCTTTAGCTCCTTCAGTACACGATAGCATCGCCATGCGAGATCTTGGCGAGCTACTAAGGTGTACTTGTCGACATCGCACACCTGAACGGCAGAAGCCAAAGCTGGTATTGGACCTGCGACTAGCTCGCGGAGGACTTTGGATGTGGCGGAGGGCGTGAACGGCTCATTTATAATGAGAAGAGATAATTTGGTTGTATGCGCCTTTATTAAGGTTGCTGAGTCGTGAGCTAGGGATAGAGGATCGATTGACACGGGATTCGGCGACGATGATGACGATGGCGGGGTTGTAGTAGTAGTTGTTGTTGTTGAAGACGCTTCGTTTAATGCTATCGAATGGAGGAGGGCTTCAAGTTGCGATATGAGGCTTGTTGTAGATTGGACTACAGACTTTAAAGCCTCAAGGGCATCGTCGGCTATGCTGTTTGCTGCCATGCTCCTTCGAATATATTTGTTGGTTAAAATGTAAATGTTAATAGGTAAATTCTCGATTTTTTCTTAACCTTGAGCGCGACTGCGGGACAAATACCTAAAGAAGGCGGGGTTCCATGCATTTATTTACCTAAGCTTTAATAGTTGCCAGCTGCCCACTTCTACATTAGGTGGTCTTACGGCTGGTATCTGGTATCTGATATCATCTTGTATCTCACTTGGGTACATTCAATATGTACATGTACCTATGCCTTTTACATTAAGGTAGGTACATGATCTCTTAAATGTACGACACACCCGGGCCCTTGGCTTATAAAAAGAAAAAGAGTGCCGAAAATATACCTAGGTAGTTACTTACTTATCTTTAGGTATATAAAGCTGGATCTCTCTTCAAGGACTACAACATTCATATTGTCGCAAGCACAAATCTATGCCATGAACTTACCTAACGCTTAAAGGTTAACAGATCTTGGGGATTATGATACGACATACCTAGCTTTGACAAATGGCAGGTCGATTATGTATGACGAATCTTTACGTCGTTTTCATCTCCCTACGCTCGAATCGTCATGGGCGCTCAGTCAGCACTTGATAGCACAAATTGATATATAGATACATGAATCCTAAGCTATTGCAAATGCTTTCTTTTTACTTATAATCTTGAACAATTAAGCTATGCGTCTTATTAGTTACCCCTATATATATCTTGATTTCCTTTCCTTGGTTTGCCTATAACCTATACGGCTGTGAATTCTTCTTCAAAATGCAGCCTGATATCCCGCAGCGTGAGGCTGTTCACAATTTTCAGGTCGGTACCTGGATAGACAATTAATCGTAATAAGTATTTCCTAACCAAAACCTGCTAGCCTAGCGATGAGTGGAAGCTTGAGCAGGGCCTAGTAGGAGTAGAGTTGCATATGCTTGACCAAACGAAGCATACCGAGGTAAATGGCGATGTTACAGGTTGGGAACGAGCGATCCAGCCAATCCCGAAAAAGTTCGATAGTAAACTAGCTGTCGACGAATTGGTTGGCTGGGATGGGTAAGTTTATAGCCCTTCCAAATCTCAAATCTGGAGAATCAAGTTGTTCTGACTACCTACCTATATAAGCTATGTTGAATGGGAAGATTACCCGGACAAGAAGCGCAGGGCGCATGAGATTCTCGTCTCTCAAACCTTCCCTCCGCCACCCGAATTCCAGTTGGCACCCATTCCTGGTACCAATCCAGTTCTTGAAGGCAAGTTTTGCTCTATCCTCATATACTCTTATCATACTAATACGCTAATGATCTTCGTCTGAGTAGGAATCCGCTGGAAACTATGGCATCGAGCCATTGGCGGCCGTCTAGCAGTAGTTCCAGAAGAATCTTGGGCTATCGTGCTGAAAGAAAAGTCACCGGATATGCTGCATCTCCTCCAGTTCCCTTACAACGGCGAACCACCTAAAAAACTCGTAACTGCCCAGCCGATCACACCGAATCCTCTACACTTTATCCGCAATCACGGTGGCATCCCGTCCATCGACCCGTCCGCGTGGTTTCTCCGTCTAGATGGCCTGGTAAAGACGCCCCAGAAGTTAACGCTGTCGGACCTTCAGGACGAGAGCCGGTTTCCACGCATGGAGAGGTTAGTAACTATTCAGTGCAGCGGTACTCGGCGAATCGAGCAGATAGGCTTGTACGCTGGCGAAGGAGACGAAATGATCAATGCCCCTTGGGCGGAGGGAGCCATCGGGACAGCAAAATACGTGGGAGTGTCACTTAAGAAGGTGATAAAGTATTGCGGCGGGCTTGAAGATGGTGCAAAGCATCTGGAGCTCGTTGGTGCCGATACGTACTTCAAAACGAACGAGGTCATGAACTACGCCATCAGCGTGCCTTATTCCAAGGTTAAATCTCACGAGGTTATGCTCGTCTGGGAAATGAATGGGGAACCTCTTCCCAAGATCCACGGCGCACCAGTCAGAGCAGTAGTGATGGGCTATATAGGTGCTAGGAGTGTCAAGTGGTTATATCGCATAACCGCAATGCCGGAGCCGACGAGAGCCCCGGTGCAGAGCAGAGAGTACCTATACTTCAACCAACAAGTAGGCAAGCATAACCAACGTTGGATCGATGGAATTCAGATACAAGAAATGCCCGTGAGCAGCGCTATCATGTCGCCTTGGAATAAACAGGTCGTACTACACGAGGGGAAAATTGAAGTTAAAGGATGGGCGTACTCAGGGGGTGGCCGTTGGCCCGAGCGAGTCGAGGTCAGCGCCGACGGTGGATTCTCGTGGTATGCTGTACCGACGGAAAATCTAAGCCCTAAGCACAAGTTCGCTTGGCGCATCTGGCACACGTGGTTGCCTTGCGATGTTGAAGGGTGGATAGAGATTGTAGTACGGTGCTGGGATAACAGCCTCAACACTCAACCGACCGAGGTTAGGAATACGTGGAATTGGGGTCTGCATGTGACGAGCAGCGCTCATCGGATCAGAGTATACAGCGTGAACAATACCAAGGAAAAGACAAGAGAGAGGCTAGGAGAATTTGAAAGGCGAGGCATGTCGTTCGTACCTATTACACGACCAACCGAGTTTCCCCATATGACTTGGGAGGAGTATGAGGAGTATTTTAGGGAGAATGGACCTAGAGATGTAGACGAATAGCGTGATTCTAGGTTGCCAACTAGTAGGTGTTGGATATATATATATATATATATATTAGGTACCTATGTAGATGATTAAAGGTCTGATATGGTGGTGAACTTATATATCGTTACTTGAAGAATGACCTTGAGCCCTAGTAATATAATCACTGAATGGGTAAATGGTGGGCACATGACATTGGAATGAAAGCTTGTGATTAGCTGTCGATAAGGAGGCTCATCAGGGGGGATGGGTAACCAAAGAATCTTGGACATCATGATAACTGGTGGATGCCTTGCTGTTTGCTGCGTACCTTAGGTACCTAGGTAGGTAGTTTACCTATAAATCGAGATGGCGTTCCCCAACATAGGTGGTACGTAATGCTAAGTCGTATGAGGGATGGATGGTTAAAGAGCTTGGCACCGGCAACTCTTATTAGAATGGCATCTAACCTAGAGGATACCGGAAGCATACGTGCATATAAGTGAAAGGCTATAGATTTATAATCTCACACACGTGGGGGTTGTTAAATTAAAAATCGTAACGATGCTATTTAGTATAACTCGACATAGGTAGTAGAGAGGAAAGGGACGAACCTTATGCATGCGCCCTGAAGCTTGTGTCGTCGATTCCTCAGCACTGTGAGATTTTTCGCGGGGAGGTTTGTAGGTTGGCAGGTGGGTCAATATGTACCTAAGACATGGACGTAGGTAGGTTAGGTACATACACTATATGTACCTAACCTACCTACAACCTCAACGCGGCATATATGGGGCTACTAAGTGATACATACATTCAGGTACCAACTGTACATGAAGTACCTAACTGAGGAAAGTGCGGTAGGTACATGGATGTATGTATAGTAAAGTACGAAATACATTGACAACAATCGCGCACCCCCCACCTCGAAACATTTGAACATTACTTCATCATAATCCATTTCCAAGTTCGCCTTTCATTTAGTTGCCCTCGGAGTCGGATCATTTATTCTCTTACCTTCTAGTTGGCCAGGACGGCGTAGTGGAAAGCAGGTCTAGCGTGACTATTTTCAATACTCAGTTCAAGAATTAATCTAGCACTCTGATCATTCGTTTTCTTTTCCCGCGAGGGAATAAAGAAGTGGCCGAACCCGAAGCCGTCATTCGCTTCCCAGCTTAGACAATCTCACAAATCTTCCGAAATCCAGAGTCCCAGAGTTCAAGATAGCCCAAGAGTTCCAGCTCTTAGCACATTGAATCTAGCGATTCCGACTCGTCCTAAGGTCTAAGGTCTAAGATCTTCTTGGTCTACGTCTCTAAGCCAAGCTAAAAAGGTAACCAACCAGTCCAGCCCAGTCCAGCCAGCCCTGTGTCTAGAATATATCCTACAATACACACCCGCGCATTCATCTATGCACACATTCCTGGGGCCTCCGTCCAATATCGATGCCTATCTATCATTCATTCGGGATTAAGCCATTGTTTGCTACACCAACGCATAGAGTCGGATTAGTTGTTGAACCCTGGCTCAGTGACGCATCAAGTCTTTGGTATCCTCGAACGGTTTCCGAGTCAATGTTACTGGATACTCTCGAAATCATGCGTTGCTAGTACTACCACTGACGACATCCACCTTTGGCTTGGAAGTAGGCTGACTTTCGTCCTGGTGTCTGTATCTGTGATGGCCGTCAGCCCACAGACCAGTTACCTGCGTATCTCTTTCTGCTTACCATATTTTATCTCTAGAGCCACATCCTAACAGTTCGATAGGATAGTATATGATAAACCCATCCTACTTATTTGCAATCATCAATTGCAATATTAATATACGGACGAAATCTGGCGCGTTTCCAACTTCCTCACTAGTCCAATACTCAACATTCTGTATGCCGATAAACTAAATCCCCGCTGGTCATTTGTGGCCGTAGTCCCTACGCCCCTACGCCCCTCTGCCGATCCCCATCGTGCGAAGATCATCGGACCATATATATTTACACACATTGCATCGTCAGTTGAGGGATTCCGGCGCATCTATAAAAAAAAAGATGGGCAATACACATACGAAAGATGCGAGGGGCGGCACTCGTATGGGAGCTCATGGGACCCGTGGGGATCCTGGTGGAAGTTCTACCGGTGCCGGCTACCATGGAGAGCTTCCTGATCGATCGAGACGTGCTAGTCGACCAGACTTGAGCGGCATAGGCCTATCCTTCGGTGGCTCGTCGAGCTCGCGTCAGCAAGATGCCCCCTTTGAACATCGAGAGACAAAGCAGGAGAAGGAAGCTCGGAGGTTGGAACGAGAACGAGTTGTCCGGATCAAGGAGCGCGAGCGTAGTATGAAAGAGGAAAACGTAGACGGGGGCTACCTGGTGACAATGGGTGTATATACCGCCTCCGAGGACTTTAGCAAGCCCGTAGTACGCCAATTACAGGTGAGCGATGTTGTTCCTACCGGCCGGCTCGGGTCAATTTCCAGTCTCCAGCTAATCTAGTACCGAATGTGACAGATCGAGAGGAAGATAGCGCCGTTTTGGCGTGGACTGGATGATTTTAAGGAGAACTGGGCCGAACACCAGATAATCGCCGCAGCTCGCGGTCTCGAGATCCCTCCCGCTGACGAAGTCCCCGAGCACCTCATCCCGCAGCCTAGGTCACCAGATTCCCCCGGTACTTCAACACAGAACCTTACCGTTCCGATGGGCCCTCGGACCCTTTCAATCGCCTCTGACAACCCTGGTTCAAACCCGGGCTCAGCTTTGCCTTCTCCTACATCCCCCAGTATCCCGAGAACTAACTCGCCCTTCAAGCCTCATAAAAAATCTCTGGCAGCAGCTCTTAACATATCTCGAAATAGTTCACATACGGATATTATTACACCACGCGAGATTAATTTACCCCACGACCCATTCGTCAACGGTCAGGCCCTAGAGGTCTTTCTGTACAAGGAGGGAATTGAGTGCCCCCTCTGTCTTATGTACTATCCCCCGTACCTCAACCGCACTCGCTGCTGCTGCCAAATTATTTGCAGCGAATGTTTCGTTCAGATTAAACGTCCCGATCCGCATCTTCCCGAGCACCACGCCGACGAAGAAGGAGGTCAGGCGCCGCCTAACCCCGAGGAGCATGAAGGCGAGCTTATCATGGAGCCGGCCAGATGTCCGTACTGTACCCAGACGGAGTTTGGCGTGACATACGAGCCTCCCCCTTTCCGCCGCGGATTAACGTATGCATTCAACAATACTACACTGGGTGCTATGAGCACGGCTATGTCATCTTCGAGTTCTCTCAATTCAAGCCTTTCGCCACCGGTGACTACATCTGCCAATGCTAGCCGCCGGCGAACGCAGAGTGTTTCTGCCAACGCGCCGGGAGTTATCACTACTGACCGCATCCGGCCCGACTGGTCTACGAAACTAGCTGCGGCTCGTGCGCAACAACGTCGGAGGGCAGCAGCTGCAGATGCTCTACACCACGCTGCTTTTGTAATGGGAAATCAAGAACCCCGTACGATCTTCGGTCGGTCATCTCGCTTTAGCCGTAGGAATGCAGGGAACAATCGGGGGAACGAGAGTCCAGGCAATAATTCCAACCTCCAACCAAACGATGGCGGGGCTGATGTTCCCTCGGGTCCTGAACCAGGGCCTCGCACTCTCTCAAGCCGGGCTGCCCCGAACCGAGAACGGATAGATGCCGCACACCTCGAAAACCTAATGATGGCGGAGGCAATAAGGTTAAGCCTAGCGGACGAGGAGGAGCGACGAAAGAAAGCAGATAAAGAAGCCCGTAAAGAAGCAAAAAAGCGAGAGAAGGAGGAACGCAAGTCTGCGAAAAAGAAGGGGGAGGTGTACGGAGGCGGTGGTAGTAGTGCGAGCGCGAGCTCTCTTAGTCTGGGATTCGGGCGAAAGCGAGGTAATAGTGCTGCCAGTAACTTGCGCACGGAAACCAGCGTAGCTTCTCAAGCTACTAGCGGAGCTACGAGCCCAGTCTTCAACCCTGGTTTGACTTCGCCGGCTAGCAGCAAAGGGAAAGCAGTCGATCGTAGTGAAAATGAAGATGGTCAATCAAGCGGTTCTGGCGTCGCGTCTCTACCGATTCCCGTTCCTTCGCAGCCTCCCCGAGGATCGTCTCATCTTCGTCAGATGAGCAACGCCAGCTCTGTCAGCTCTAGTGGGGTTGAAAGTACACCGGCTAGTTATACAGGTATGCATCTCAATACCGACGGCGAAGATCCCCGATCCAGCGGCCTTAGTTTAGCTGCGCGCAGTGAGGAGGGCGATAACGCAAACTCGGAACCCATGTTCAACTTTAGAAGCTTAGCGGAGATGGTTGGTGTTCCCCTAGATGGCGAGGCCCAGTCACCCGGAAGCGAAGAAGCGAGCCCGGGAAGTAAATCAGCGGAGGCCGAAGAAGCTCACGGCCAACATATAGAACATGTCGCAGACCATCCGGTCAAAGAGGGAGGAGAGAAGAAAGAAAGTTTACCCATACTTGATACCCTCCAAAGCAACCAGAACGCGGAAGGAGAGAAAGGAGAATCTACTGCTCCGCCGCAACTGATGATCACCCCGGAGACCCCAGCGCGTGCTGGCGATGACGACCGGGATTCTAAGCAAATCGGACACGTTACAATGGCGGATAAGCCGCAAGAGGTCGCACGATAGAAAATGTTTTTTTTTCGCCATCATTAAATTCTCGCTGCAGGGGCGGTTTCCGGTCAGGGTGATAAATGGGACTGAAGATCATGAATATCTGCATTAACGGGGAGGCAGGCACTGTTGACTTTCTCTAGTTCGGAGTTGAGGATTGTATCATAGATGGTTGACATTCACAAGCGATATAAGTTAATTCCCCGGAGCCAGATCGATGAAGTACAAGGGGGCTTAATCCCTCAGTCTAAGTAACCCAGCGCAACTCTGTTTACTCCTATGTACTAGGCCTCGTTGCAAATGATAGTCGACATCGCCATAGCATGTAGTGGCAACTCTGGCTATACTGACCTAGAAAAGCTAACTTAGATGTAAGAAGTGAATAGAATCACTCGTCGTAAATGGGAGTCATTTGACCACTACGCAGGTAACTACCTGGTAGTCAACTTTACCTAGGTAGCATTGTGTGTAATAGTACCTAAGGCGTTCAACATATGGAAGCACTTGGGTAGAACTACAATCATCACTTGTGTTATAATGCGTGTTTATAGCGCTATTAGAGTTATATCATGTTAACCCCGCGCGGATTTCCGTGTCGAAAGATTTTCGTGCATTATGATAAGAGGTAGGTATATTTGTATGGTTACCTCCTAAATAACGGATAACGGTAACTCCTCAATGTTCACACTCACATTAGATTTGGCGGCATACTTGACAAGAATCCCGTCGTTGGGCGTAACACCGATATCAGCAGGCTTTCTCGCATTGACGAACCCAGGCTCGGGACTGGTCCAGCTGTAGTCCTTCCACTGGCCTAGGACTGCCCACATCTTTTCTACTATCCCTTGTATCTTCTGACGACGATCCAAGCTCCATTGCCTTTGTTTCAACTGTTCGATATCAGAAGTCTCCGGCTCGAGACCCTCTACTACGCTCTGGAATACACGGCATGTTTCTTCTAGTTCAGGGATGCTCGAGATGCCCATGACGCTTACGCCGACTCGGTCCCCAGCCGATAGCTTTCGTGTATGGCTACCTCTAGATGCGCCGATTCTTGACCAGTTGTCCAATGCCCACCGGATAGCGACAACCTCCAATTTCTCATCCGCATCTGCCGCGATAGATACCAAATCCTGACATGCTTTTCTCAATCCCTCCGGACTCGGATGCCACGAGGCTAAGGGTCCGGTAGCTGCGCCTCTCGTAGTTAACAGGCCCATATTAAGCATGCTGGCATTGAGGACGACGTCGACTCCCGCACTCTCGAACCGAGCCATAGCGGAAGTACCCAATGTTGTATTCTGTATGGTATAATGGCCATAGCTCAATATAGCATCGAGAGGCTCTCCCGTCTCAAGGAGAATCATCTCAGCGAGGGCGCACAGCTTCTCGACGGGGTAACCGCTGATGCCAACGTAGCGAACGATGCCCTCAGCGCGTAAACGACGCAGCTCGCGCACGGCGGCTAGCACCTCAGGGGGTGAGACGAACTCGACATCATGCATATAAACCAAGTCCAGATAAGTGGTGTGCAGACGCTCTAGACTTCGCAGCACCGAGTACCGGACCCAGGCGGGGCTATAGTCGAAGACGTCAGAGGCGATGCGGCCGGCTTTAGTAACGAGGAAGTAAGAGGAGCGAGGATATGCCGTGGCGACGGAGGGATGAGCTAGTGCATCACCCAATATCAACTCGGATGGCCCATAGTACGGTGACGTATCGAAAGCGCGGACGCCGAGGTCGAGCGCACGCGAAACAATAGAGATAGCTGGTAGATCGTAGGGGTTTGGAACGTATTGCGTGTTGAAGGTAGCGGTGCCCAGGACTAGAGGAGGGATGGAATCGTGGAGGGGCCGGCGCGGCGGGTTAGAGACCGGGGGGAGGGAACCCATTATGAAAGTGCGGTCTCTCTCTCTCTCTCTCTCTCTGCTTGTCTAGAGTAATATGTATGTTATGATTTATATTATAATGTATATAGTATACGGACAATGAGGCTACGTAGGCGAAGAACGAGGGGTATGAGTTGGTGATGGACGAATGTAAGGAGATATTGGATATTAGATATTCGATATTAGGGGGGACTGTTCGACTCTATAGTAGACAATACCTCAAGATTAGAAATAGAATCGAGGGATTTTCAGGGTCCCGCAGGTGAAAGTGGGGGATGAACTAGACTATAAAGATTACCTGTAGACTAGACAGACTAGACTATATTATAAAAGGCAAGAGGTTGACTTGGTTATTTGAGTGTGGTTGTACGTGTAATCCTATCGGTCATCATCATCGTCATCATCTTGGTTGTCTTGGAAATAAAACTCTTCCAAAAGCCATCCTAAAAGCCATCCTGCGAGAGGGACAATGTTGGACCATTTACGAACGAGACCGGCTGGAAGTCAAGATGGAATTTTGCTTATTCTGCAAGCGGTCCAAGACGGGAGAGGTGCTAATGCTGCATAAATTTACACTTACAAATGTATAGATGTAATACCGAACTTCCATGTCTCACATGAACGGAAATCGGTACGGAAATCGATATATGTTAGAGTCAGTCTTTCCGATCAAAGCCGATCCGATAGGAAAGCAGATATCGGAAAATCTAGAATATCAAAGGGTATCTAGGTAGGTAATGCAAGATAAGACAGAATACTTCGTAGAATCACGTCATCCAGTTCAAATCCGCTTTAATCTGCATGCGGTTAACTATGTGGCGCCGCTACTATGCTACTGCGCTACTGCGGTACCTACCGAGACGAGAACAGTTCGAGCGCAGCCACTTCTTGGAGCTGGGGATAATCATGTGATTATACATCTCTTAGGAGATAGGAGATAAGCCGAAATATCCTGAGAGCTTTATCTGTTTGTAGAGCTCTGAGGACGCCATCAGTATACATAGGTACGGATTGCATTTCCTCCTGGATTATGAAATCATAAACAAGCGAAAGTCTATAGAGACTGAGAAACGAGATATATGAGCCTGTAATACGTACTTATTATCATTTCATTATTATTATTTATTATAATAAATGTGACCAAGTAAATCAGACTTATACGAATACTTATGACTTAACACGTGCACTTATAATATCAAAATCCTAAAAGCTTATATTTAATACAAGTAACTTCTTATACTGTAAACAAAGTGGCCCACAAACCATGCCTCTTCACATGTTCGAGTTGTTTAGGAGTAAGCTTCAGCTCTCCGGGGATCCTCCGGCACGATCGTCTCTACTATATAAGCTGAACTCATTGGAATGCCGGACTGGCTGATATTGCCTCGGGTCAATAGATGGCGCCATGGCAGATCGGCAGCATAAACCTTGCCTTTCTCGGCACGCTTAGTATAAGAAGACTCATCTCGACAAATTGGCGCGATACATATGCGCCGTGGCTCGTTTAACCGCCTCGACCTAGTACTCGGCGTTACTCGCTGCATCTACCAGGGGTTTCGTAACCTAACCTAGACGATACCTTCACGTATAATTTTAACTTGCCTTTTGATCGTGTTCGATTAGGTTCCGCTTTCAGCCCTTCCTATATTGGATACGACCTAAGCTTTGTAGTAGATTGACACTTAACATACTATTTATTACCAGGACCGGTAGCGTTTACCGGTCTCCGATGGGCTTATATATGCTATAGGTATCGTCACATAGCATTATATAGTTATTACGTTGAATATCAATAATACTACGACGCTGCTGGTCTATAATGCCACTGAGTGTCATGACTAAGCCTCGCGATCTCACAATTTGAATCCCAAAACTACCTGTTGAGAAGAGCCGCTTAGATGCTTATAGATGATGAAGTCGTTCTATTTATTTTTGGAATCCTACTTCTTAATTGTTATTTTATGGCTTATAATGTGAATTAGTTACAAGGGATGGGGGAATGAAATCTATTCTCATGTTGACCTACCGTAAACCTGGCTGCATACCTAGGTACCTTGTCTACTCTACTAGAGGACCATGGCGTGTAATTATCTGCTGTCGTAGTGACTTTATGTAGGTTTTCGATATAAATAACTCTTAGTTTAAACTACGCTCATAGCCCTTTACCCTCGATCAATTTCAGCATTGACCCAGCATCATGTTTATGATTATTCCTGATGTCATACTGCGGCAGTATGAGGCGAAGGGGATCAGCTATTTTATCTGCTTATTGTTTACGTATCTACCTAGGATACATATCACAGATGCCTTTGTTATGATGTTCCAGGCTAAATTGCTGACTTGGAGTAACCCAGGTTAAGAAGTTGATTCCCATGTGGGGACTTAGGGGTATAAGACATCTTCGATAAAGACATGCCTGTCTTAATTCGACAATTGGGAAAGATCGCCTGGACTCTTTCGCGAATAATTTATTGGCAGAAATTCTGAGCGGAACGTAGTGGTAAAGTAAACCCATTTGAAGATTCAGGCTAATGTCGTCTCCGGGAATCCTTGCCAGGTGTCCGAAAGATCCAATCAAGTGAAGGGTAAAACTAATTCGTCCTACTTATGACATAGATATGCAGGGACGAACGCTTCTTGGCTTCTTCTCGCTACTACGTGGGCACATGCTATTATTATAAGACTACGACTGTGTCTTTTCCCAACTCGGGCTATTGTAACTGGGCGACCCCACGCGGAGTGACGAATTCCATTCCCGAAGTTTGATGGCAGAGTAGTGAAGTCTGCGGTATACAACATACCACATTTAGAAAACATATCCTTGGCGCTGAAGATTGCTCCGGTTCTGGCCAATCTGCTGTTTATGCCATGTTAGCTTCAGCCGCGCTAATAGGTGTTGACCCCTTCAAGCGAATGTAGCAAGGGGCAACGATGGACCTCCTTGATCTTACATCATGAAGAGTATCCAGCGTGGTATCCTAGATGGTACCTTGATATACAGAAGTACTATATTGGCCTACCCGTATTGGCCGTTCCGGAGACAGTTCTCCAAATTAATTTCCCTCGGTTGAAGCCATGTCCTATATGTAACGATGCTGTTGACGCCTGTTAGTATAAAGGGAGGGTGCCACCTTCTAGACACTCGTATCGGCTCCCTGGTCACTTCGGTCTATTTAATATCCCTCTAAAAAAAAAACCAATCATGAAGTGGTCCGCAGTCACCGCTGGTGTTATTGGCCTTGCTGGGTCTGGTAAGTAGAGTTGTCTAGTCCTGAAAGAAAGCAAAACGGGACGAGCCTTAGTACTTACAGTGTCTCAGCTCTCGCCCAGCTGGACTCGACTGCATTCGTCGACGCCGACACTGGAATATCTTTTCAGTCTTACACAAGCACGGACGGTATTACTTACCGACTAGCTCTTCCCGCAGAGGCAACCGGCGATGCTGCCTATGATGTGATCCTCCAGGTCGTGGCGCCAGTAGGATTGGGCTGGGCCGGATGGGCATGGGGCGGTGCTATGACATACAACCCCCTGACTCTCGTATGGCACGACGGAGACAATGTTCAATTTTCTTCCCGTCAAGCTACGTGAGTGAAGCCTCTAATTATATGAACCATTTAGTTCTCAAGCAATCTCGGACTAACAAACGTAGGGGATACTATTTACCTGGTGCATACGAGGATGCTAAGTACACGGTCCTTAAGGGCACTGGCGTCAACGAAACGCATTTCAAATTCACGGCACTTTGCACAGGTTGTGCTAGCTGGACTGATTTTGACGGAAACCCATACATCCTCAACGGTGCCGCAGACACAAACTTCGCCTACGCCTTCTCGAAGACCGCAGTTGAGGAGCCGGCAAACCCTGAGACGGGCTTCAGCATTCATGACAATGTGGGACGATGGATTCACGACATGGGCAACGCTCGATCTGACAAGTTCAAGGAGTGGGTAACGACCAACACCATTGCGTAGGTGAAGATAGCTTGAATAGTTAATGAAGTAACCTGGACTTATAATCAGAACAGTACGGAGCTAGAGCTATAAAATTCAAAGTATTCGTTAGGTATGATGGCGTAGCTTATACTAGACAGGTGCCCATAGCTTGTTGGATTTAGGAGGAAATGAATAGGGTTAAAATAAATCCAAAATAAGAGCCCATTATCGCGATAGCTGGCGTTAATGATGTATTAAAAGACGGTATGAGAGACGATATATAATCTCATCATCGCAATATTGGTTAATGTTAAGGGATATTTATTCGTATATATAATAAGGGGGGCATTTTATTTATAAGGTTACTTATGTACTTAGGGAGTAGACGAGGGGTTCCTTCAATGTTGGCTATGTACCTAGGTACCTAGGTATGTACCTCATATAATTCTTTTTTTAGTGGGCACAGGTACCTAAGGTACATTACCTGATTACCTAAGGTCCCTTAAAAATACAGGTATGTTGAATTCTTTTTTGGTTTGTTGCATCGAAAATGTACATCGTCATTCTTGATAGCTTCAATGTTTCTTCAACATGAATGTTGCTACCGATGTCTAATGTTCCTCGCCTTCCTCACGCTTTAGATTATGTGGTAGGGACACGGTATCACCTTAATGTAAATATTCAATAGTCATTATGGCCCCTACAAGGAAATCAAAAACAAATCAACCTCCATCACCATCCCGAACCTTGGTTCTCGACAATGGCGCCTACACTATAAAGGCTGGATATGTGGCTGGTGACGTCGTAGACGAGCCTCGCATAATACCGAATTGCATCGCTCGAGATCGCAACAAGAAGATCTATATTGCTTCCAATATTAATAAATGCACCGACTTCAGCGAGATCGCTTTTAGGCGACCCGTGGAGAAAGGCTTCGTCGTGAACTGGGAGACTGAGAAAGAGATATGGGAACACGAATTCTTTGATGACAAGGCTCCTCAACCCTGCGATCCCTCAGAGACTCGGTTACTACTTACCGAACCGTCAAACTCCCTTCCTATACTACAGACGAATTGCGATCAAATGGTATTCGAAGAGTTTGGGTTTGCTAGCTACTACCGGGGAATTGGTATGTCGCGGTCGTCTTCTGTAAGCCGTTGAAGGCGGTCCGTAGCTGATAACTATTATCCTAGGCCCGTCTCTCAATGCCTATCACGACGTGCAAGGTATCCTTCGAACACCACGAGACCCCGGGACCCTTGCCCAGCTTCCTGCCGAGATTTTACTCCTCATCGATACCGGATATTCCCATACTACCGTTACGCCTCTTCTCCAAGGCAGACCCATTCATCCTGCTATTCGAAGATTAGATGTTGGAGGTAAACTCCTAACTAATTACTTGACGCGGTTGCTTTCTCTTCGTCATTACGACATGCGTAACGAGACGTACATTGTCAACGAGATGAAGGAGGCTGCTTGCTATGTTTCCCTCGACTATAAAGGAGACCATGAGCGTACCTGGAAGGGCACAAGAGGCGAACGTCGGGACACCTTTCTCAATGGTGGAGGAATAGCTAAAGATTACGTGCTCCCCGATTTCCATACGATAACTAAGGGCATTCTCCGGGATTTCGATCCTCTTCGTGCCTCAAAGGCTCGAAAACTGGCGGCTGGGCGTGCTGGGGAGTCTAACGAGGATGTGATAACTCTCCGGAACGAACGCTTCTCTGTTCCAGAATTGCTATTCCATCCTTCAGATATTGGTATCCGCCAGCCAGGTATTGCGGATCTCGTCATGCAATCTTTACGCCTTCTACCCGTCGGATTATGGCCTGGTCTTCTTGCTAATATCATCGTCGTCGGCGGCAACTCCCTTTTTGACGGATTTGTTGAACGACTACAAAAAGAAATCGTGCAGCTCGCTCCCGATGAATGTTTCGTCCGGGTTGCTCGCCCTGTGGATCCGATAATCAGCACATGGCTAGGTGGTGCTAATCTAGCCAAGCATGAGAACATCAACGCGTTGTCCGTTACAAAGCAAGAGTATGAAGAGTTCGGTGCGGCGTGGGTTGCGCGCAAGTTCTCCACCGGCTTGGAGTTATGATTTGCCTCGAGACAGAATTCACTTCCAGAATATTTAAGCCTCACGCGCTGATTTACGTCACAGATGACAATATCGAACCGGTTTGGCTCTAACATATCGCTCATACGACGAGGCTATTTTGGACCTTTTTAACTACCTACAGGTAATCTTACATATGAAATGTATTAACCCATATGCTTTAAGGTCGAACAACCAAGTTGATGTACACATTGATAGGAGGAACACGCAGCAATAGATTTACCGAATAAAAACTAAATATGCTCATTCATAACTGAGTTGGGTATCATCTTGGCCCTCGAACTCGATGGGCACGCAAGAGAAACAATCATAAGGCCGCATGTCATGTCGTTGACCACGCCTTACTGCAACTAATATCAACAATACACGCCCAACCGACCGTACCAAACATAGGAGTGGCAATGGAGTAGAGAACCCGTAACGCCGCCAGTGACCATGGAACCCTAGGCCGAACAGTTAAAGATCATAGTCGTAATAGGTAGTAGATTAATCATAATAGGATACTCGATAGTTCATAATCGAGCACTTATACCTCCGAATGGGCTTTGCCGTTAGTACATCTCGCGAGATCGGCGACCGCTTCTCCTCGAACACCCTGTGAATAAATAATTTGTTAGTTGACTCGGACTACAAATTGCAGGAATGGAATGACAATCGTACAATCGCACTGGAGTTCAAAGTCAGCTTAACTCAGAGGGACCCGTGGACCCGTGAGGACAAGAGACATACCAGCGTGAGTGTAGACCCTTCGTAGTGGATGATGCAGTACCCGCCGCCACAGGCTCTGCAAAGCTTCTGGGTATTGGCGATGCAATCTAGACACTGGAATACGCGAGTAAGCATAATTGGTCCTAGTTATACAAAGGGAGAACATAGAAACATACGTTGTGTTCGCACTCCCAACAACTCCGTTTGATCTTAGGGATCTCGGGGTTCTAGAGCCAACAACGTTAGCAAGGGGACTTCGTAGAGCTTCCACACAACGAGACTCTTAAGGAAAAGTATATTTGCGTCTGGGGATTATCGCCGCATACAATTTCCGGGGATGACCGAAAGCAGTTGATATCCACTCTCGCTATCCCTACACGAACTAGGGTCATGGGATAATAGTATATTTCTCGCCTGTATGGCCGCTTCGCAACCACTCAGGGCGGAAAGGGGTTCGGAACTCCTGCATTTGCCCCTGCAGCTGCTAGGTAGCAATTAGGACAGTAACCCTTCCGTACCTTAACGTTAGACGGCTCAAAAGTTGCCGATTCATGCTCCGCTACGCCGTTGGTCTGGCCGAAGGTGTGCACGATCTGGTTATTTAATTCTTGACGGCTTGGTATCTGGTAGCAAGCCTCGCACCACCACTGGGCGCAGCTGAAGCAGTACCGTTCGCGAATGCATTCTAGACATCTCGGGATGAACTTATGGGCCCCCTCTGTCCCTTCGGATCTGAAGTCGGGCTTCGGGCAAGTTGCTGCTTTGATAGTTGATGAATGAAGCGGAACAGGTGCCAAGAGAGGTAACTCCTCCGGCGGAGAGTCTCCGTACACCGTAAACCCCTCTGGTGCGGTTCCGCAGGATGCACACCCGCCGAGTGCGAAGGTAGCAACGTTCCATAGGCTCTCGTTGCCAGTCGCTGCTCCGCGCGGCGTGACTGGTACCTTTCCAAAGGCGGATGAGTTCTGGTGACGAGGGCTTGTGCAGAGCACAGCATCAAATTTGATCACTTGCCGACAGTCAAGGAGTGTCTCAGCCCAGCCGTCAGCGATGTGTTTTCCTATGATGCGGCCCTTCTTATGATACCAATCGTCTCCCTCGCTTTGGATAGACTCGTTCAGCGTATGTTGAGACTTATGATTCCAACCAATACTAATATTAGCACCTCTTCGAGCGGTGCCATGCTGTCTAGCTATCAACGGGATAGGTAGCGCGGGAACGTCCTTCGTTCCGAATACGTATACTGCCTTTAGTCGAGGCGTGTCGTCGGGCCGGGTAGATCGACAAGCGTAGCGCAAGCTTTGCATCAGCTTGCGTTCGTTGAGGTTCTTCACATCACGGATGGAGAGAATGCGCACACGCAAGGAGGGGTCAACGAGGATGTCGTTACAGAACTCGGCGGTAACGGAGAGGCCGTCGAGGACGAGGGTTTGGACTTGGTGTAAAATGTCGCGTCGACGGATGCTCCGGAAGATAGTGCGTAGAGGACCCGAGTAGAAATCGTCCTCAGTTATGTTCTCGTCAATCTGGACGTTAAACCAGACCACGTCGCCATGGTCGATCTTGACTCGGGTTAGGTCGAGGTATCGGAAGACGCCGGGGGTGCGGTATAAAAGAAGTTCGCGGAGTGACGGCGAAGTCGCGGCAAGGTTGAGAATACTCGAGATAGGTAGGTAGGGGATAGTTTGGTGTAGGACGAGGGAGTTGGTGAGTAGGTTTAATAAGGGATTGGAGTCCGTAAAGGCGTTGCTAGATGAGTCGCGCGCGTGTTGTTGAACGATGGCTCCAGATGCCATCACATGCAGACACAGACCAGCTGCTGGTTAAAAAGAAGAGAGAGAAAAAGAGACACACGATAAGACGACGAGTCAGTGGGAAATAATTAAGTTAGGTTTCGGGATTTAGATTAAATAAAGAAGAGATGAGATAGGTTGGTAGTATATAAAAAAGGGTAGTGGATTCTAGGGAGTCGAGTAACCTAGAGCCTCTCTTGTTTCGTCTTGTCTTGTCTTGTCTCAAGGTTGAAGATATATGTATGCCGTATACCTAAAGTAGATAGCCCTTGATCCAATAATTATATGTAGGTAGACAGGTATGTATAGACTATATATAGGTACCCAACTTGAATAAGAGACGGTGAGTAAATTGATATTGAGAGGTAAATACCTAGACAGGTCTACTTGCTTATTACTCTACTCTGTAAGACAAATAGTTATAATTTATATCGAATAAGAGACATGGCAATCTATACCTTGTGTACCCCTGGACATCTTAATAGAGAGGGGATACGATGAGGTGTTTTTTTCCAACCCTTTTCTTATATCATTTACCTCGCCTCCATCACCAAGACCGTCGTATATGATTAGGCATGTCAAAAGCATTGGTAAAGGCTTCTTCATTAAAGATGCCTGCACCATTGCGTATAGTTTGGGCAACGATGGCAATATTCTTGGGGTTTTGCCTTTCCTTGGCAAGTTGAGCCGACAGCGTCGCATCGCATTGCAGATACATATGCAGGATCATAGACTGTAACTGGCCCTTGAGAGAAGTAAGCTACCGCTAAGTTACCTATGATGATTGTCGAGGCCAGCGCAGCATCAAGCTTATAACTCGCTCTCGAATCTAGACTTTACGAACATGGAGACTTGGGTAGCACTGAATGTCTGCCTGTCGATGCGGGGGACGAATAGTGTACTTTAATATATGTCCAGATAATGTAATCCGTATGGTAGTGTGTAATGTGTTATATCGTGTTATATGTACTTCGTAATGCCTCTTTTGTTGGTGGGACGCTTCGTGGAGTCGGTCAGCAATTTGTTGTTTACCTCATAGTAAATACGGAATAAATCCAGTCTTGAATGAGATCGTCATTATCAACCATCTCACCATCGTGCTTGGCTTTTGCTTGGCTCCCCTAAGATTCAAAATGGAACTCTTGGCTTTGTAGTCCAGGTAACCGTACATAGTGCCTAGAAATGCAATATACAACTTTAGCCGTTGTCAGACATGTTTTCAATAAATGTACGCAATAGTCTTGGCTGTGTTTACCTAGGTATACTTGTTGTTTCTGTTATCGTCCATTAGCCAAGTTGACTTTCTGTACTCTGTAAGAGAACCCGGCTTATTTTTATTGATAGTACGGCGTGGATAATGCACGTTGTTAGTAACTCGATCTTGTGACTTTATTTTGACAAATAAAAGGAGACTTGGGACTTCCAATGGACTTAGTTAATACTTATATTAACTTGGGTCTTTTAACATTTTATACGACTCCCAGCTTCATGTTACATGTAAGAGGTAGGCAGGTATTAAGTATGTAATTTACAGGCACATAGTCCACTTTCAATAAAAGACATTAGCTCTCAAGTCAATGCGCGCTGCCGTATTTTATATTTTGCACGTTGGGGCTTCTTTTCGCGCGCTAAAGGGCGGAGGTACCGATACGTATTTTTTAATTAGCAGCCCCGGAGTCGCGTCGGCAATATACGGAGTGACTCTCCGTCTACTTATAAATTGTAGCAAATCTAAATAGCGGGGCAAGTATCTCATAAGTATCCGCTAATATTAGGGCGGAAGCTGCGTCATGGAACTCTACGGAAATGGCTGACTGATTTTCGTCATTTTCAAATCCATTTTCAATCCTTCTTCTTTCACTCCTACAAGCGCACGATGGTTTCCTCCCCACAACCTGATTTCTTGTCAGGGTGTTTTTAAAACCCCGTCTGACCGTCGCCCCATCGTAGTCACCTCTAATCTTCTAATTCTTCCCCTTGTTTCTTCAGGGATGTCTCTCCCAGTCTATTTTTATAAACTGGCTTCCCCCGAAACTTGTACAATACAAAACGACGCCGATCCAGCTAGATATTGTCTAATTTCACTATAAATCAAGATGGAAGAACAACCCGCGATCAAGTGGTCAGCAACTTTGAACGTCGCCTCGCCAGCGACATACTCTTCTAAAGATTTGAATGGCGACAAGATTATCCTCCCGCAATCTGCTCTCGAACAGCTACTTGCCGCTTCGACTTCGTCTTCCGTTTCAACCTCAGCCTCAGCCTCGGCTACGAATCCCCTCCGGAACTCGTATGCTTCGACATCCTCTCGAGCCCCATATGCCTTCGGTGGCGACCCGTACCAACAACTACCCAGCCCTCTCATGTTCCGACTCGTTAATCCTTCGAATAACAACGCGGTTTATGCCGGCATACGCGAGTTTTCTGCGCAGGAGGGCGAGGTATTGTTAAGTCCGTATCTGTTGGAAGCTCTAGGAATCGAATTAGGCAAGGGGATACCCGAAGATACCCCTGATGCTTCCGATAATGAGGCCGCGATACCCCAAATAACTGTCCATGCCAACCCTCTGCCGAAAGGCACCTACGTTCGTCTACGACCGCTGGAGGCTGGCTACAACCCCGACGACTGGAAGGCTCTTCTAGAGAGACAGTTACGCGAAAGTTTTACAACCCTCACGAACGGTACCATCTTATCAGTGTCGGGGGGTAAAAGCGAAGTTTTCCGGCTGCTGATCGATGGGTTTCGGCCTGAGGGGGGTGGTATATGTGTAGTAAATACGGACCTTGAAGTCGATATCGAGGCCCTAGACGAGGAGCAGGCGAGAGAAACTATGAGACGGATCATGGCTAAGCAGCAAAGGGCACCCGGGACCTCCGGTGGTAGTTCGGTCGGTCAAGAGCTCAATATCTGGAAGACTGTTAGCGGCCAAGTTCTTCCTGGGGACTATGTAGACTATGAGCTACCCTCATGGGCTCGATCAAGGATCCTCGAAATTGAGGTTAGCGAGCTGCCAGACGAGTACAGCGTAGA